GATTGTAAGTTCGAGGCTAGCCTGGGCTACAGACCAAGACCTTATCTAAAAAAGAAAAAAGGCAGTAGGAAGCTCTTTCTACTTACACTGAGACTATGGTTGTGTTCTATCCTAAGTATCAAGTTTAAATATAATTTACGCTTGCAATATTGTTCTTTAATAAGCTAATTTACAGATGAGTTGACATGATTAAATTACTAAATTAGTAAACAATTACAATCTCAAGAATATATCACCCCTAGGTTCATTTATATACAAAAACAAACTCCTAATCTCAACATGAAGGCATATTAAAGGAACAGGTAATCCACCAAGCTTTGACTTTAAAAACGCCAAGATTTCAACATGATCTATCTTAAGGTAAATCTTAGAAGAATGACCTATCCAGAACTTTACTCCACACAGCATATAACAAAACATTGGAGCATCGACTAGACAGTCATGCAGTGAAATCAATTCAGCCTCTATGAATTTCCCAAACCGATTAGATGCTACGTCTTCACGGTGTGCGGGTCAGCCAATGCATGAGTCAGCAGTAATGTCCTCGCTTTCCTGAGCACCTAAGTCTCTCAACAGAGTGAGCTGACACTCACTTAAGGCATTCTTCATACTCCGCATCTTTGTATCTATACCAGTGTAAGCGCACACACACATTGGCTCCAATGGCAGCACTCTGTTCTCTTTGAACTCTTAACGAATACCTGCTGTATGAACAAATGACTGGAGGGACAGGGGTTATGGGTCATATATGGTTTAAGATGCTGAAGATAATTTTACCAAAACATACTCTCAAGAGATCAGCATAAAACAGATGAAATTACTGCCGTCTACCCTTCCCTCCCCGATACCAAATAGCTTTTTGGAAATTCAATAATTCATATTTTAGCCAATTTTATAGATTAATTATACATTTTAAAAATTTATTTAACAGGAGCCAGAGAAATGGCTCAATAGTTAAGGACACTTCTTGTTGTTACAGAGGACCAGGGTTTGGCTCCCAGGACCTAAATGATGGCTTAGAAACATCTATAACTATGGTTCCAAGAAATCTAATACCTTCTTTTGGCCTCCTTAGGCATTAGGGACACACATGGTGAACATTCATACATGCAGGCAAAATACAAACATAAGAGAAAATAAATCTAAAATCAGATTTTAAAAAACTCCTTATCAGCCAGGCATGGTGGAATACACTTTATCCCAGCACATGGGAGGCAGAGGCAGGTGAATTACTGTGAGTTTGAGGCCAACTGGTCTACAAAGCAAGTTCCAGAACAGTTAGGGTTGTTACACAGAGACAGCCTGTCTCAAATAACCAAAATAAAATATTCTTCATCAGGTCTTTAACTTAAACATAATTAAGTGGTGGGTGCTTGCCTTGAATACATGAGGCATGTGCAAAAAATAACTCCCACACTCTGGCAGTACGAGGATGAGAACGGACTCCACTTATGCAGAGAAAAGGATCATCTAGATCTCCTTGGGGTCTAACCATGTCACCAACATCCTGATGTGGCATGAAAACACGCTTAACAGACAAAAATGGCTGACAGCAGAGCACAAAACTAAATACATATTATTATCGCAATATTAATATGCGATATAAAAGCACATTTTAGTGTCAGTTCTAATGTGCGCCACCCCTCCCCCCATGGTTGTGCTGATGAAAATGTCCTAAATAGAAGAACTCTGGCCTGGAGCTTAAAAGGACTGTTATCTGGTAAACAGAGAACTACAGGGGGTTTCTGTTTACAAGAACCTCCCTTAAACCAATTTGCCCCCAAAGGTCAACAACCTTGGGCAAAGGCATCCAGTCCTGGTCAGTCAGCTCCAAGACCCCACCCTTCTGACTGTCATAAAATCCTCTTGCTTTTCCACCATTTTGCTCCTCTCTGCCTCTCTTATAAACCTTTCTTTCTACCCATAGAGTGGTACAGCTTGGTGGTTTCACTGAGGAAAATAAAAGCCAGCACCAAATCCTACCCGGCTGCAAAAGGGATGGGCTGTCGGGCAGAAAGCGCAGGCCATGCTTTTCTACTTCCCAAACCATCGATACTCTGTTTCCTACAGCTACGATAATCACATCCTGACATACCTTTGTCTCCTATCTATACAGGGAATCATTTCAGTCACGAATCACTATTTTCTTTCATGTCTAAAATGACACTTTGAATCAGAGAGGCAGAAAGCATGAATCATGGTTCAGTTATCCTGACTGGATGAATGTCAAGTTACTTCATGGCTCCAAGCCTCTAATTTCCACCAAGTGTGGCCACCTTGGCGAGACTGAAAGTCATCCCAGGGGCACTGCTGAGCACCAGCCTCACAAGTGCTCACTCACACTCACTCACACTCACTTCCGTCCAACATTTCTCACTGTTGCCTGAGCTCCTACCCAGGAAACAGACCCCTCTGGTTAAGTACTAAAGTTATCTTAGAAAGGCATCCTCTACCACAAGCTTTAATGTCTAAGAAAGCTCAGGAAAGATATTTTATTTACCTGTTCACTCATTGTGGTTTGGGTTGGGTTAGCTTTATTTTGTTGAAGAAGGATCTCTCTTCTTTACCCTGGCTGGCTTGGTACTCCCTACATAGATAGACCAGGCAGACCTGAAACTCACGGAGAGCACCACCTACCTCTGACTCCCAGTGCTGGGATTAAAGGATTTATAACTACCCTCAGTTTCAAACAAGATATTTTAAACAGGCCACAGGACTCTCTTGCACTTGGTCAGAATAAGGCCTCACACTGCTGAATGCTGAAGCCTGGGTAGCAGAAGGAAGCACCATAAATGAAAACCTGTCTGTTATCAGTAAACTGTCAATCAGACGTGGCTTCCTGGACAGCTTCGCCCAGCACATGCAGCACTATGCTGAAGAATCAGGGCAGAAAGGAATTCTTGTCACAGGTTTCCTACGGAAATAAGTCAGTGAATTCCAATGCATCCAATAACATTTTAATAATGCCAGTTTTAAAATGTTTATAGCTTCACCCATAATCCTGTACTTGAGAGCCAGAGGCTCACAGAATGTAAGATCAAATCCAGGTAAAGCTATAATATAGTAAGATTCTATCGCAAAACAAAACACACACACACACACACACACAGAAAGAGAGAGAGAGAACACACAATGGCTAGGGCTGGAAAGATGTTTCATCTGTTAAGAAAGGACACTGCTCTTCCAGTGTACCCGGGTCCAGTTCCCAGCATGAATATGGAGGCTTAAAATCATCTCTAATTCCAGCTCCAGGGAAGTCAACGCCCTTTTCTGGCCTCTACAGGCACCAGGCATGAATATGGTGCACAGATACACATGAAGGCAAAACACTCATAAAAATAAATCAAATTTTTAAGCTCATGGCTAAACACAGGCTTTGCAAAATACAGCCATGGAGCTGCTCAAGGTCTCAAGGACAAGTGAGAGCTCAAGTTCATCAAGAGCAAGGGAACAAATATCAATACCAACACAAGTCAGGAATTGTGCAACATATTAGAGGCCACAAGGAAAGCAGAAGCCAAGGACTGAGCCTACTCTGCTGTCTCCTCCCTCAATAAATCTTCATAACACACATACACACTTACACATACACACACTCACACTCACAGAACAAAAGTACTTGAATAGATAATTCTCCAAAGAAATCACAAATTCCAATATGCACATGAAATAACATCAGTACTAATTAGGGAAATAAAAATCAAAACCACAACATAGCTCTTCTCAACTACTAGGACGACAATCCTGAAAACGAGAAAGCAGTGCCTGTGCTCCAAGCTGAACACTTCCCTAAAAGCTGGGTGGGCCTGTGTCCCATGCACTTCTATTCACAGAGCCCCTAGGGGAAGACAGCGGGCGGGGAGAGCAGAATCCCTGGAAGCTTGCAGACAAACTAGCCTGGTCCACAAAGCAGTGAACACAACAGACCCCACCTCGAGCAAACTGAGGACACCTCTTCAAGATGTCCTGTGACCTCAAGGTGCCTGTTGTGAAACCTGCTCTTGTACACCCCCCCCCAACAAACACACAACACTAAAAATCATAATAATATAGCTACAGTGTAATTTAGAGCTACATCACTTGCCTCCCACACACAAGACCTGTGGTGTTTGATCTCCAGCATCACACAAGAAAAGTAAATGTTAGCAAGACAGTGGTGGTGCACACCTTTAATCCTGGCACTTGGGAGGCAGACACAGGTGGCTCTCTGTGAGTTCTGTGGTCTACAGAGTAAGTTCCAGGACAGCCAGGACTACACAGAGAAACCGTCTTGAAAAAAAAAAAAAAAACAACAACAACAAAAAAGGAAATGTTAGCAAGAACGTGGAGAACCTCTATCCCAATGCTGACAGGGACATTAAACTGTTCTCAGCCACTGTGGAAGAGTTTGGCAGCTCCTCAAAAAGAATAGCAACCACACGACCAAGCACCCATATCCACTGGAAAGACATGAAAACACACACTTTGTATGTCTGTGCTCACTGAAGCACTATTCACGACAACGTGCAAACAAGTCAGTGCCATCAAGAGATGGGTGGGCTTTCGGAATGTGGTTCATTCATGCGGTGAAGTTCTAGTCAAAAGAGAAAGCTTTGTCCCATGCTGTAATGTGAATGTGCCTTGGAAACATGCTAAATGTAAAAGTCATAGATATCAAGAACAAATACTGTACTATTCCACTCATATGTACCCAGAATAATCAATTTCATAGCAACAAAAAGTGGGTAAGAAGTCACCAAGGTTTGGGGAGGCGGAATTAGGAGTTACTGCTTCATAGTGACAGAATTTCTGTCTGACTAGATAAAAACGTTTAGGAAACAGCAGTCATGGTTGCACACATCGTGAATGCAATCGAATCCAGTGAATTGCACACACACCAGTGATTCAAGTGGAAAGCCTTGTGTTGAAAATAAATAAAGGAAAGCTAAAAGGAACAGAAAAAATAAAAGTAACATTATTGCCAAAATGATAAAAAAAAAAAAAAGACATCACACCAATACCTTTCTATGCACTGTGCTCGGGACAGAGGGGGCTGATATTTTTGGTTATGAGCTTCTCGGGCAGCAAGTCTAGCTTCTGACAACTGAAAGAGAGAGCAAACCGTATTTAGTCATTTATTTATTTATTTATTTATTTATTTATTTATTTATTATCAGGAAGGTGGAACACACCACCACCCCTTGTTAGCTTAAGACTTCCCAGTTTCCAGAGCTCTTGAGAAATAAATGATTACAGTTTTCTAATATTCTTGTTAACAAAAGTAGAAGTAACTTTAACCCCAGCACTGAGTAAGCAGAAGTAGGCAGATCTGATATTTGTTAGTTCAAAGCCAGCCTGGTCTACATTGTGAGTTCCAGGACAGCCAGGGCTACACAGAGAAACCTGTCTCAAAAATAAAATAAAATAGAAGTTAAAATAGAGGCTGACTACTCAAACTCTTTGCTTTTGAGACAGTAACACAACAAAGTTCAGAGACAAGTAATAACTCCAATGCCCAGAATTAAGAAAAAAAAATCCAAAGTGTGGATTTTCTTCCCTCTTAAAAGTATTTATCTTGGGGCTGGAAAGACGGCTCAGCAGTTGAGATCAAATACTACTCTAAGACCTGAGTCTGTTCAAAGCACCCACATCAGGAGGCTCACAACTGCCTGTAACTCCAGTTCTAGAGAATCCCAACACCTCCTCTGACAGCCATGGGCATCTGCACACATTTGAACATACCCATAAATAGGCACATAAACACACAGTTAAAATCTTAAAAAATAGTGTATTAAAATTAACAAAAGATATTATTTTATATAATGTTTAAACTGTATGTTTATTGGTTCATTCTCAATAAATCTGGCCAAAAGATGTTATCATACCTTTTCATCTTCCCATTGAAAAAAATTACAGTCTTTTCTATCTCTACAGGCTGAGCAGGCATAAAACTTCCGTGTTTCTTCCTTCCCTTGGCTCACTTTTACAAAAAGAAGAGTGGGCCCTAGTTTCAGAACAGGAAGGAAAAAGAAGCGTCAAGCAGCAGTCTACAAATTATTTTGCAGAAAATTTACTTAGGCATTATACATAATTTATAATTCAATGCACTGTTCTCTGTGATAAACTTTATTCAGTTGTAACATTGATGCACTAGAATATTAGTATCCCTCCAGAAAGAAAATGCTTGCTGTCTACATTATTAAAGACACCAGCTTGGGTCCATAATGAAAGTAGACTTAAAGGAACAGACTTGGATAAACAAAGGGAAAATCCCAGAGAACTTCAGGGAGTATCAAAACTGGGGACGACTGCGGGTGTCTTTTCGGTGAAAACCTACGCTTTACAGTTGGACAATGCCTCTTTCTCCAAGAGAAAAAGCTGATTTGACTTCCCTTTTGTCGTTGTTGTTTTTGTTCATTCTAACTCAAAAACAAACCATCAAAAACCTAACAAACAAACAAATGAAATTCCCCTAAGAACTTGTCTACGGGAATCCTTCAGTCCCTTGCAGCCTTCATTCTGCTTACTCCCTACCCCGCCCCCCAAAGCAGAGATGTTAACAGCTCTGGAGCCAGAGCGCCAACAGCCAGGACTTTTCTAGGGGTTTCTTAAACACACGGAAAAACACTTTCTGAAAACGGGTGGTGCTCAAGCATCACACAAGGTGAGGAAGAGGGACAGAGAAAAGCCTTTTCTCTTCCACAGTCCAGTCCTAAAGTGTCTTTGGCGCCAGCCGGCCAGGCTGAGCACATACACCGACCCACCGTGTGGGCACATCGGGGCGGGAGCCGCGGGGTCCGAGGGGAGCGACAGTTCCACCCCGGACGCCCTGCGCCCCGTGCTGCCTTCTCCCTCCACCGGCTCAAGACAGGCCATGGGCGCCGCCATCTTACCGCCGCCGTCCCAAAAGCCTCAGTCCCAACCGAGGAGGCGGAGAAAGAGCGCCGCCGCTGCGCCAGGGACCCACAGCGCCCCGCGCGACCTGGAGGAGCCAAGCGTCGGACCCAGAGAGCCTGGGGGAGGGAGGGGGCTGGTCAACCTGTGCCAAGACCTATAACCAGGAGAAGAGATGACTTTTTCTTTTTCTTTTATCTTGTCTTTTTCTTTCCTTTCTCCCCTCTCTCTCTCGTGATTTTTTGTTTTGTTTTGTTTTTCTGTTTTTATTTTTTTATTTATTTTATTTTTTTTTTTGAGTTAGGGTTTCTTTGTGTAATAGCCCTCACTGTCTAGGAGCTCGCTCAAGTAGACCAGGCTGGCCTTGATCCACCTACCTCTGCCTTCCAAGTGCTGAAACTAAAGGCGTGCCCCACAACTGCGAGTTGAATCTTTAGAACAAAAATTTGATTCGATGATAGAGTCAAAAGGCCAACAAAGAGCTAAAACAATAGCTGAACTAGCAAACAGCTCAGCAGCTCTGCTGCGTTTTACAAACCACAGTACCACTAGCCTCTTCTTTTGTTTTGTGACAGGGTCTCATGTAGCTCAGGCTAGCCTCCAACTCCTCAGAGTATGACCTTGAACTCCTGATCTTCTGCCTTCACCTCCCTAACACTGGGATTACTAGCTCGTGTCACCAGGCCTGGAGCTAACCTAACATTTAAGTTGTACTTGATTATTGGATTCCCACTGATATTTGTACATCAGTAAAAGAATGTCCCCATTTGCCAGTGGCAATTTTTCTAGGAGAATAACAAATAATACACAGTTTTTATAACCTCTAGTTTAACTTAGTTTGGCAAACTTGCAGGATATGAGATTGACATTACAAAAAGATCATCTAAACATATCATTTAGAATACTATTCAGAATTCCCAAATAAATAGAGTGTGTATGTCTAATATGCACAGATCTCAGAGCAGAAAACTAGAACATGTTGCTGAAAAAAAGTCAAGAAAGATCTAGATAAATGTGAGAGCACTGCCTGCTCATTAAGTGGGCCACAAACATGGTCCAGATGCCAGCTCCTCCCAGGTTCAATGCAGACTGATTTAGTGCAGTTTGAAAGCATGATTCTGAAATGTACAGGAAAAGTCAAAGAAATGGCTAAAACAGTTTTGAAAGAAAGTACCAGAGGGGAAGAAATTAGTCTATACAATTCCAAGCATGGTGGGAGTCATAATCAAGACTCACACACACACACACCATCTGATTGTGAATAAAACTGTCAAACATGGCATTTTGTAGTATCCCTAACACGGCACACACACACACACACACACACACACACACACACACACACACACAAAACTCAACAAAGGTTGATCTGGAGTAAGGTGTATGAGGAGGTGTAAAAAGATAATGCAGGCTTCAAAAAATAATGCGGTTTTCTTTTCTGATGAAAAACTTTGGGGAGAAAAAAAAACCATGCCTTATGATTAGGCACACAGTTGGTCACCAGTTCACAACAGGCAGGTTTGTTCTCTAAGAATTGTGCCACTTGGGGATTTTGTCACAGAAACGTTAGATTCAACACAACTGGGGAGGCTGCAATATCACCAAGGCCCTAGTTTTCTAGAATTTTTGTTGTGTGTATCCCATCAATGACTGGAATGTTGTTATGAGAAGTTAACTACGATTGATTGACTGTATGAATATTGGTTGAGGGGGTTATAATCATTAGTAAGTTATGATTGTTTTTATTGCCTAATAGTGTCTTTAGTTCATACTGGAAAATCCTGTGTGCAGAGAGATACACTGATCGCCTTGGGAGGATTCTGATGGAAAAACTGAAAAGAGACCTGAGCGCTGGAATGGACTCTGGCCATGTGTCCCATCATTCAGAGTGGAATCCTAAAGCTAAGACCCAATGAATTCAGAAACTCTTCCCACAAAGGCTCTGGACAAAGCAGTGAACTCCTTGTAGCACCAGGAAGTCTAGCCCATCGTCCTTAGAGAATTACAATCCCTAAATCTCCTTCAAAAACCATGAATAAAGCCGAATCATGGGGCTGGAGAGATGGCTCAGAGGGTAAGAGCACTGACTGCTCTTCCAGAGGTTCTGAGTTCGATTCCCAGCAGCCACATGGTGCCTCACAACCATCTGTAATGAGATCTGATGCCTTCTTCTGGTGTGCAGTCACACATGCAGGCAGAACACTATATACATAATAAATATATATTTTTTTAAAAAAAAAAAAAGCCAAATCATTTTGTAGAGGATGTCTTACCGTTTTCTCTATTTTCTGGTAGAAGGAGGTTGGTCCTGTCCCTCACAACCAGTGTCAGTGACACTGCAATCATCATGGTGGAGGTGTGTAGCCACTGCTGTGGCACCCTTTTCCAGTCAAGGCCCATACCTGGGCTGCATTCTCTGCCATAGGTAGCTCTGCCTGTTAGCCTCCCTCAAGTCTTCTAGGTTCTTGGGAGAATGTGGTCTCCTCAGAAGTCTTTGCTTTACTACCCCAATCTCAGATCTGAGCCCTGATTCCCTGCTGAGTTGGCCAGGAAGCCCCCTATATGCCTTTTCTCTGCCTTCCCTCTGCAGCTCTGAAGAGCTCCAACTGTGGAAACTTGACTGGGAAGACATGGGACCCAAAGGAACTATGGGAGACTTCTGAGACCTTTGGAAACAGTGACAACACCGAAGAGCTACACACCCTGGAATTGTCACCTTCTTGGGAGCTATCAAGACTCACTGAGCTTTTTGCGGTTGTGTTTTGACTGTTTTGTTTTGTTTTGTTTTTTGTTTTTGTTTTTTTTTTTTTTTTTTT